GCTTTCCCATGGAGAGCACGGAGGGTGTGTCCTCCAAGATGTGAGCTTCTGCTGGTTCGCTAAATGCCTCGAACTTGATGCTTGAACGTTTGGTCGAACACGTTACCCCATTTGCTGTATGGAAGTTGACGACCTTGTCATCGTATGTTGGGAGATCCATTCTACTTATCCGTGTGGATGAAATGAGATCATGGCCACTTCCAGAATCCAATATGAATCTCTTATCTCTCTCTTCAACAGGAACAGTGATACACATTGTGTTGCCCCTTTTACCATATCGACCTTCAATATGCTGAACATAGTTTTCCACAAATACTTCCCTGGACACCTCACCGTCCTCGACGTCGAGTCTGATCAGGATGTCCATGCTAGGGCCGACTATGATCAGGACTTCATCAATGTCACTGTGTTCACCCTTCTCATCGATCAGAATAGCCATTGCTTTCCCTCGGCTCGAAGCTAACCTGCATGAATAAGACCATTGCTCATCTTTCCTTATCTGATCAGTGGGCTTGCCAACTTTACCATGACCTTTGGGGATGGTTTGGGATTTCCGGTTGCACTTCACGAAGTCCTTCTTCACGTAAGTTTGAACTTGAGTTTTAGACTCATCAAATCTGATCTTCTTCTTGATCACGTTCGATGCAACCTTATGGAACGTCCCTTCATCATCACTCCAATCATGGATAAGTGCAGGAGTAGCCTTTGAGCTTGGTGCTTCAGTGTTTGGAGCAGTGTTGAATAGATGAGGATCGTGGCGTTTGTTGCATTTGTCTCCATACCGACACTTGCCCTTAGCCCAATGCCAGCATGGTTCATCAATCTTCTTGGTCTTGTTTGCCGGAGACTGACTTCTTGGAGTTCCTGGCTTCCGACCGTTGCCTTTTGCATTCTTGTTCGCATCAAATACCTTTTGGTCGTGACTGTATTCACAATCCTTGCCTTTTCTGCATGCTTTCTTGATGAAATGGAAATGGCATGGGATCTTCTTCTTGGATCTGGGGCTGGTACTTCGGTTGTTTGCTCGATCCTTCCCTTTCCCTTGACCTTTTCCTTTTCCTTTTGCATGCTGTTTAGGCTGAGGTGATGGTAGAACTGGAGCTGCATCGGCCTTGGCCTTCGCCTTGGGCGCTGCCTTCTCCTTGGGAGTAGCTTTAGGCTTCGCTTTTGGATTTGCATCCGGTGCAGCAGCAGTTGGGTTCGGAGCAGGAGCTGAAGGTTTGCCGCCGCCTGCAAAGTCTCTCGCATACTTCTCTCTGGCTGCCACATGCTTGTCCTCTCTGATTCTGGAGATGTGCCTTTCGATGACATCCAACAGGTAGCGATAATTTCGTCTTTGGTCTCCTTCCATCCATGACTCGTACTGCTTGATGTCAGACATCATAAGACTCGAATTTCGAATCTTCTTGTATAGAGCGTCACGAAGCCAATCATCAGGAGGTACGTCATCCGGCATCATGTTTGATACCATCTCCATCCATTTCTCGTAGAACACTTCTAGGTTCGAGTCACCGAGATACTTCATCGATACGATGTGCTCCATGGTGAAGGATGTTTCTCGTTGACCTGGGGTTCTGAAGTGCTCCAGAATCAAAGCCAAGATTTCCCGTCCCATGACATAGGTTCCTCTTCGGCTATGACTTTGTGTTCTCAATCTCAATTTGATCGCTACATGACGAGCAACATCACCGGCTTGGGCTATCACGTTTGACAATGCAATTGACAACTTGGCGTCGATGGACTGATACCGTTGCCCCCCACTGTCATTCAACAGCTCGATGTCAGGATTTGGTCGAATAGCCGGCTGTAGCCATGCCTCCCATGCGGCTTTATCCCCGTCATTTGCCGAAAGAACAACACTCTTGATGAGATCTGATTGCCAAACCCCAAGATTCTGTTGCTTTGGCCATGGGCTAACATAGACTTTGTCAGCCTCTCGTCTTGACATTCTTGGTACTTCTTCTGCAGTGTAAGCCGCTGTGGAGACATCATCTGCTGAATCGCGTTGTGATCCTCGAACCGATGGCAAACCAGGAGGTTCAGGAGGTGGTCCTGGACCGTTAGGCCCAAAAGGGTCCGGAGGTCCATCAGGGTCAGGCGGACCGCCCCATCCACTCGGTGGCCTGTAGTATTCCCTCTCAGTTCCGCCAGCGATCTTGTTGTCAACCTCTTTCAGTAGATCAGCGATTCTTTTGCTTGATTGAGAATGCTGTGGTTGTTGAGGAGGTACAGCATGCCCACGATAGGAATGAGCCACATTTGTCTCATAAGTCAACTCCTTGTCGATCTGCGAAACCCAAGATTTCAGAATAGCGTTTTCACAGTTAGCCTCACTCACGTCATTCTCCAGTTTGTCGATGACCAGTCTGGATGCGAGATCGGAGTTGGGAATGCCTGCCGAATAGGGAAGTGTGTCAGGACTGATCCTAGCCATAGATGTTTCAGAATCCTTGAGACTCTTTCTCAGTTCATCTAAGTGACGTTTCATGTCAACAATCTCAGAATTCTTGATGCCAATCTTTTCATCCCTATCCTGGATTTCCCCCATGAACATGCATGATCTCTCATATTGTTGAACACCACTCGCCAATTTTAATTTTCGCTCACTCTCTAGTTCAGATCTTAGAGTTCGAACCTCAGCATTGGTGAGGGACGACGCCCCTACATCCGCAACTTCAGCCAGCCTTTCTTTTAACAACAAGTTCTCTTGTAAGCATTCATGAACTTCATGATCTAGATCCTGAACCCTGATTTGAGCGATCTTAGCTTGATTACGTAGATCTTCAACAAGCATCTCTTCGGGGCCACGACCGTCGGTCGTAGAACCCTGAGTCAACGATCTTCGTAACTTCGTGTTCTGCAACTTGATCTCATCCTTCAATTCGCAGTTCATCTTCTGCTCGTTGGCATAGAGCTCTTCATAGTGCTCTGCCCTTGCGATCGAGTTTGCACTAGCCTGTGATTCAAGCCTCAGGTGAGATATTGCTTCGGCCTCTTGGTTCCTGTATGATGCAATTCTTTTGACGGTATCATGTTCAGTGTTTCGATGCTTCAGATCACTTTCCAATTTGGCCTGATTTGCCTCGAACACCTTCTTCCTAGACTCTCTAGTGATCTCGTCAATACTGCTCTCATACAGCTCGGCCTGTTTACGAGACTGAACCAAGGCTTCACTCAATAGCCGATTTCGCTCAGATAATTCATGAACTGCAATTGATTGTTGCTGGCTAATCACTTCAAGTTGATTACTAGAGGAGGATGCCATTTCAGATCGATTACGATATTCCATGATTGAGTTCTGGAAATCATTTTGCATTTCTTGACCTTCATTGTATAGTCGATTGGCAATATCGGTGGTTAAGACATTGGTTTGATGAAGTTGTTGTAGTCTTGCCTCCGTATTACCCAGTAGTCCTTGAAGGTGATGTACTTCATCCTTGTACTCCTCCTGGATCTCCATACCACGTTGATGGATCCGTCGTGCACCATGTTCCATTAGGGCACCTCGGCGTTCAAGGTCTTGGATGCGTATTGTTGCACCTTCATCTTCCTGAGATGCTACCATTAGTTCTGCTTGATATTCTGCAACCTCATTTGCGGAACATGACAATCTATGATTGAGTGCATTGACCTCATCAAATACATTCTGATTGTGTTCCCGAAGATACTCAGTGAACCTGATCTCGATGTCATGAATCAGTTGATCCCTGGATGCAGCGTATGCTTCCATGTTGTTCAGCTGGTTACGTAGGGATTGACATTGTGCCCGTAGTTCTTCTATCATGGCAATAGGTTCACTAGCCACAGAAGTATCCGTTGATCTCCTCTTAACACGACTATCCCCGGTCCTCTCACCAATTCGGTCGGTTACGGCCCTGGTGGATCTGTCCCTTGGCGTAGTACGTCCTCGAGATGGTCGATGCCCTTGGCGGACAACATCACTCCGAGCACTGTTTCGAGAAGATCTAGGTGTACTTTGGGTGGATATTCTTCGTCTGTTTGATGTGACTTGCCATCCGGACTGTGTAGTTCGGGTAGAGCGTATCCCGCCACTGTCTGCCGTGTCGCCAGGGGAAGATTGATTAACCTCCTCGACCGGCATAGCAGCGTTCTCATTGAAGGTAAACTGCGTGGTGCGCGAATCTCCGCTGCCGCCTTGCATCTTTGCGATGGTGAGCTGATTGGTCCTTTGCGTCCTCAATCAATTGCTCAGAAGGCCCGGCTACCAGCACGCAGGTACCACTCTCCCGGCGGGAGAAGTGAGTCTTACGGCTGATAATCTGTGAACAAATGAATCCTTGTTCTGGATGTAGTTATCAATTGCGATACCTGTTATGCCAGCATTGCCGGACACTGATGGTGCATGGCAAGCGCAGCTCGGACCCTTTTCCTCGCACACGGACTTGAGCCAGTACGGCGTCCAGATGTACAATTAAGCATGTACATCACAAGTGTCCTAGTGTTCAGTTCCCTTTGACAATATACATATGTATATTATATATATATATATACAAATGGCAGGTTTACGCTTAATCTATAGCCAGTTTAGTTTCATGGGAAAATCATCTATACATGGCAAATGGCGATAAAGAGTGATTTAACCAGCTAAAAATGGGTGACCACCAACCCTTAAAAAAATATATATATATATATCTTAAAATCCCATGGTGTCTGTGTCATCTTCATCCATGTTCTGCATCAAACTCATGAAATTTCTCACTTTGGGGATCTTTGGGGTACAGTAATGCCACTTTCTGCCCCACTTTCGCATGTGAAAAACTGCGCACCTTGAAATCCCCCGTCCTGTGAGCTTTGAGCCTTGGCAGCTGAAGCAGCTTGTTGCAGTGGTTGGTTCCCAGCCCAGTGACTTGGAAACTAGTTCCATGATTGGATGAGAAACTTGCGGGAAAACGAGGCAAATGATTATGTAGAACCCACTCGAAACTAAGTTGTCGCTATCCTTCGTGATGTTTTTTGCTGCTCATCCGCGGCCAAGATGCATCTGCAATCAACTCTGCAGTGGCTGCCTTCAAACCATCAGAGTCTAAACCTCGAAGGCAGATGGAAAGTCCAGATGTTTAGTGATGGAAAGTCCCAAGTGTGATGATGTCTGAGTTTCATTTTTGAGATACTGTGTTTTGAGATGTTGTTCGATTTGTGTTGATGTTGAATCTTGTGGGTTTTTGCCATGGCTTATGTTGAAATGTACAAAAACGATGACAACGCAATAACAATGATGATAACAGCAGCAGTAGTAGTAGCAGCAGCAGCAGCCTTAGCAAACTGAAATCCATATATGAATTTGGGGTGTTAGATAAAAAGTTGTATCTCCATTTATCTCGAATGCTTCGGGTCCCAATGACCAACTGAGTTGGGCACGACTGCCCAGGCAAGATAAGGCCGCCAGCAGGGCCAAGGGAAGCGTTCCTTCCATGGACCTTGAAATTCGTGGCTGAAAGTTGGCTGACATTGGAAAAAACATGTCCTCCGTGCCGAATGGGTTATCGGACTTTGAGGTCATCATTGATAACCAAACATCCCCCAGCAACAGTGGGTTTTTCACACCCAATTTTTTGGGCCATCCATTGGCCGAGATTCCTGCCCTGACAATCTCTCGCATAAAGCAGATTCCCACCTGTCCAGAAGGCTGGAGCATGGTCAGTAGGGGAACCCCGGTTCCCAAAACCTGATGAGTATCCTGGTGAACCCCTTGGTCCGATAGGTTTTGATTCATCCCCAAATGTGCAATGCACACACGCACAATATATATATATATACCATGTAATATATATATATATAGAGACCTTTAATCTGTTATCATCATATGGTTTGTGATCGTCGCGTTGTCATACGGCCACTGTGGCCGGTGAGTTTTCACAACCTTCGCTGTGCCGCTCCGCCTCTGCGCGTGCAGCGAACGCAAGGCGCGAGGATTCCACACGAAGGCACCAGCCCCGGGGACCAGGACCTGGCGATACCAAGCTGGGAGATACCCTCTGGTAATGACTAACAGTTTGCTATTGAAAATGGCCATTTATAATGAGTTTTCCCATTAAAAATGGTGATTTTCCATAGTTATGTTACTTTACCAGAGGGTATGTTGGGGAGACATGTTGGGCCTGTTCTGTGATGTTTATATATGTTTATAAACTTTTTTGTAGATGTTTTATTGGAATGATCTGGTATGATCTGTTAAAATCTGTTAAATGGATGTTTGATGATTCTTGGGGATGATGGCAATTTGGACATTTGGCAGGTAGCTTGTGGGATGCGTTTGGACATGTTTGGAAGATGGTGGCTTTCATATGACACTTGGACCACCAAATTGAAACCAAATCCACGAGAGACTCCGCAGCAAAAACGTTGGCCGGTGGTAGAGTCACATATGTCACATATCCAATCAATTGACTGGGAGAGTCTGTTGGTGTTGGATGTTAGCGCAACAAATGGCCCAAGCTGGTGCCAGAACTCCATTGCCTTCATGTCACCGGCTTTGTCGATGGCTTCCAAGCGTCCCACGCGTCCACAGCACCTGTCGACGTATTGATGGTGGCATGGCATGGCATGGTGCTTCCCCATCCATCAAAATCCATCACCTCTCGGCGCCATGTTACAAGAAACTTGGCTCCCTCGCTGCGTCATGCGATCGTTCCATCCACCATGGTTGACCTGCGCTTGGCTACAATGGTGGACGATGTGAACCTCTTTATCAACATATACCTGGATCATATTTGAGAAATCGTTGATGATACTGGTGTATGCATATACACAACAGTTTGATTGCAACATAAGATAACAAGTTGTACATGTCGAGAACAACCCATATCCTGTCAAGTCATTTCAAGTTGCTTGTTGCAAAACACACCTGTTCATATTGACAGACTTGTCCGGGCGGGCTATGTCTGGGTAAAACCCATCGGATCCTTTTTTTACACCTGAGTCGTTCAATTGCATGGCAACAGTCTATCCATGTTGTTTAGATAGTCGAAAGCCGTGTTGCATTAAAGCAAACAACCTCCCTATTCTAGACTGGCAGCCGATGACAGCCAGTCTCAAATCATGTGCCGATTGGAACTTGATCAACTTGATGATCCGGCCTAACGGGGTAGCTGATTTTCAGAAAGCAGCAGGTCGGAGCTATGCGAAGCCCTTTTCAAATCCAAGTCATTTTGTCTGATCGCTGTCCCGAAGGTACTTGATTTGCATCTCGAAAATACATTGTTGTGGCTTGACTTCAGACTAGGTGAAACCTTCAAAACAATGGTCGAAAGCTGGGACAACCCCATTTACAAAAACAGTAGTTGCTCTCGAAGACCAGAGCTGTCACTAAAATTGCGTCCTTGCCATGTAACAACCGAGCCATCAGCTATGACTGCAGCAAATGCAGCATGTCCGCCCGCGACTTGCTGCACATTCTTCAGTTGATCTTGAACTTGAGAGCTGTCACCCCCAAAGTGTGCATCACCCCACGAAACCACCGATCGATCAGACAGGATCGCGGCAAATGCTGCATGTGAAGCCTTCACCTGCTGCGCGTTTCGCAGCTGATCTTGGACTGCAGAGCTGTCACCACCGCAATGTGTATCGCCCCAAGTAACCACAGACCCGTCTGCCAGGATGGCAGCAAATGCAGAATCTGTGGCCTGAATATGCTGCACATTCCTAAGCTGATCCTGGGCTCCAGAGCTGTCACCACCACAACGTGTATTGCCCCAGGTAACAACTGATCCATCCGCCAGGATTGCAGCAAATGCAGAAGCTGTGGCCTGAATATGCTTTACATTCCTCAATTGTTCTCGGACTTGAGAGATATCACCTCCAAAATGTGCATCACCCCATGCCACCACTGTTTCATCGGTCAGTAAAGCAGCAAATGCACAAGCATTGCCCCTAACTTGTTGCACATTCAAAATTTGACATTGTACCACTTTTGATCTTGTGCCACCACAATCTGGATCTCCCCAGGTAACAATGGATCCATCTCCCAGAATTGCAGCAAATGCACCTTGCGCCGCAGCCTGAATCTGTTGTACATTCTTGAGCTGGTGTTGCACTTCAGAGCTGTCGCCTCCATCGCGTGCATTGCCCCAAGTGACGACAGATCCATCCGCCAGGAGTGCAGCGAATGCACGGTATGTGGCCTGAATCTGCTGTACGTTTCGCAGCCGATGTTGGACAGCAGAGCTGTCACCACCATGATCTGGATCACCCCATGTCACCACTGATCCATCGGCCAAAGTGGCGGCAAATGCACTCGATGAGGCCTTAACTTGCTGCACTTTGCTGAGACGATCCTGGACGGCAGAGCTGTCACCATCCCAACCCGGATGACCCCATGTGATGAGTTTGTCACCACCACTGCACCACAATGCAAAGGCTCCAAAGGTGGCTGCTAGCTGTGCTTGCCGTGCAATCGCTGTGAGGTTGTCTTCCTCCTGAAGCCCTGCAGCCTGCAGAGATTCCATCGGGTCGACCAATGATCGGCCCTCAGAGGTGACGAGCCTCAGGAAGCCTTGTTGGAAGCATGTCTGGGCCAGCATCCTGCAGGGGTTTCAAGTGACCCGAGTTGGCTTGTTAAACAAGCTACTTTTATAGTTATAGTATGTTATAGTTATAGCTGAGCCATTAAACATATACCTCTAGCATCTATCCTGTCCCATATCACAATGCTCGTAGTAGAACCGCTTATGATAACCTGATCAAGAGGGATATTACTACTTGACCAGCCGGAAACCCTGTCCTCAAGTCCCCTACTTTGGAGGATTGGGGAAGCGACAGCTTCTCGCTACGGCCGCTCACCAAAGTCACATTTACATGAAGCATTTTATCAGGTGAAGCAAATGAAAGGTTGCTCACTAACCTACCAACACCATCCAAGGCATCTCGAGCCAAACTCTACAAGAACATGCTGAAGGGCATATTCATTGGTAATCTGAGCAGCTTCTGCTTGTTTGGCTTGCAGGTACGCCTGGCAAAGCAATTAGGTACGCCTCTCCAAGTGACACAAACCATTCCCAAAGCAAAATAGCCCAAAAGAACTAGCATGAACTAGCTTATCTTTGCTACCCTTGGCCTTACCAGCTGCAAGAAAAACACACACTTGCTGTACACACAATACTACAAGATTTAGGTGTCTTACGGTACCCTTGCCCTCCAAAAAAACGGTCTCACCTGCAGCTGTTTCGCCTCCTCCACCGTCACATCGATCCGAACCTTCGGGGTATCCCAGTCATATGCTCCCAATATGGCCCCTAAATCAGGGCTTAATTCGGGGTGATTTGAAATTACGCGGAAGGGATTAACATAATATGGTGAAGCCAAAAATCATCAAAAATAATCAAACCCTTGATGGCCAACAGTGATATTATGATATTTTAATCACCCCTGATAAAACACCCAATCAAATATTTCAGAGGAACTTTGGGTGTTTTTTTTGGCGTTTACAGTGCCACCTCATCTCCGATGGTCAGCGCTGCACCCGGGCCGCACTCATCTGGCAGCTTGGAACCGTGAGAAATCTGACTCTAAAAACTGAATCTTGAAACAATACATATAGTGGGTTTACATACATATACATATACATATACATATACATATATATATATATACACATACATATCATATATATATATACATATCATATATATACACATACATATCATATATATATACACATACATATCATATATATATATATACACATACATATCATATATATATACACATACATATCATATACATATATATACATATCATACATATATCATATATATATATACACATACATATCATATATATATACACATACATATCATATATATATATATACACATACATATCATATATATATACATATCATATCACATATGAAAGAAAGAAAGAAAGACAGAAACAAAGAAAATATACATATATTTTCTATATTATACATATACTTGCATGGTGTGTATACATATATAACATACATATATATATATTATAAACCACAGCCAGATCATGCGGATCCATAGATGTTTATATGTTCGGGCTTTTTGGGATGCATCAGATGCAGCCACGACTCTCCCTGCGCTACATGTGCCGTGCCTTCTTCAAATGGAAGAAGGTCGGTATCTGTAATGACCTGCTGGCATCCAGAAAACCATCTGTGGTTTGTTCAATAAAAGAATTAACCCCAATTCCAATGAATTATCATAATTTTCAGGAATAGAATAATTAACCCCAAATAAAATAATTATCATAATTTTCAGGAATTCTCCAAATGCCATAAAATGACGTCAGATGTATTCAAATGTCACATGGCAATGTGCGGTATGTGTGGTGGTTATACTGGGCATACTGATATGGGGTATACCACGGTTATACCCCCGACATGGCGCCTCAGCCACTGCCTTGGCGTTCCAGCACCAACATCCCAAGGCCTTAGCAGCTAGCCATTGACAGCTCACTAGCCTTTTGGACATGTGACTTTAGTGTTTATCTCTGCTCAATATTGTTCAATATTGTTCAATAGCATACCTGCATAGGATTGGAATGTACACCAAGAAGGGACCATAGGGACCTGTCAATGTTGTTTCCAATATAGACATGGTCTGAATGCTGGATGTTTCTCCAACCAGATCGAAGTTGGCAGATCTTCAGTTCTCGAGACCCTGAGACCAACGCTCCATGAGAAATACGCAGGACCTGAAGCAGTCTCAACACGGGTCTGGAAACCTAAGAAATGGATGTGCAATGGGGTGTACAAGGGTACCCCCTACCCCCCATTGAAGGCCGTCTGGAAACAAATGGATTGACCATTGGACCATCAAATTTGGAGGGTACACTATTGACCAAACGTTGACAAATCCAAAGGAGAAATGAAATCCCATGAATCGTCCTGAATCATCTTTGAACCAGGCATGGGTCGCCCAAAAAACTTGGCGACGAATCTCTGGCTTCAGTTCAGCCTCCCATATCTTTTCATATCTTTTCATCGTTTGGTTCATGCAATGCACTTCCCTCACCTCAGGCATGCGTGGGGACCGTCGCGGAATTTCGACCTCAAGAACTGGCACCAGAGATCCCAGGGGCAGCTGCAATGCTTGTGCGTTAGGAAAAATCATATATATATATATTTACAATCATTCCCATATCATCATCGTCATTGTCAAAATAACATCATCATCATCATCATCAACTGACTTAGAGACAGCTTTAGACTTGGAAACCATCCAGGTACTAGTATAGGATGAGGCAGTTTCCCAAAGGCTCGAACGACGCGTCCTGGGAAGTCTAGGCAAAAGGCCATCCTCAGAGTCTTCAAACAGCGGCAGTTCCCCATTCAAATGGCCCATTTTGGGTTCATTCCCCATTGGACAAAACCTTATCATCTGCTTGGTGTTGGTTGATGAAATGGTCGAAACTTGGGCTTTGCCAGAGTACTATACTGACTACACTGGCCATTCTTGATTCCGCCGTTTCTGACACGAAACAAGCGGCAGTAAACAAGACTAGAAACTCTTCAGAGACGTGAACCATTTGGGATGATGCAGTTGTCAACGGGTACACCACAACGTCATTACGACCCTGCAAAGTGTGACGTGTTCGTCGGCTGTGCAGGTCTCATCCAAAATCTCTGTCCTTTTCCCCGTCCCCAGATGTCCCCAGTGTAACTGTCCTGTCACACCATCCTCCAAAATGCTCTGGTGGCTCCTGAAAATCTCAAGGCGATCGCAAGAAGACAATCGAAGTATATCAAATTACATGGATCCTCATTCCATGCGGTGCAGGGGAACCATCCAGCAGCCTCCTAAAATCAAGAGCAACCGCTCCATTCCCAACCTGTTCCCTCTTCGCACGCTCCAAATCGTTATGAAGCCTGCGGTCCGGTGCAAATGTTGATCCACACCAGGGGCCACTGGATGGGAACATCTGGGTGTCTCAAACGGGAGGATTTACCCCCATACATAGCCATTCAATGATGGGGAAAATGATGATAATTCAGAGGGTTTTGAGGAGCCCTATCTTGAGCCATGCTGGTCCATGGTCGCCATCAAACCATCTATGCGACCATCCACCCCCCATCAACCAGCAGCCAACCATGAAACCATCCATCCAACCATCAAACCACCCATCCATCTGGCTGAATTATGCTGAATTATATATAATGATTCCCAACCCTGAAATAATCTGATGCGTGGAAGCTGCCCCTTCTAGATCTTCTAGTAATTAACCATCATCTGTGGTGACGGCCAATGAGGAGGTTCTAATTCGCCCACATCCCTCACGAAACCGATGTCGCACTTGACCACGTCGCCAACTGCAATGTGCCCGTCGCGAAGGGTAGCCCTTCCTCGGGAGTTGCCATCCTCAGTCAGGTGAAAAACAAATAATGAACCACTGGAACTTGGAGGGTACCCAATTTTTGACAAAGGAGGTCCAAAAAATGGCTGAGCTGGTGGCTGGTGCTGTGCTTCCACCTCCAGCCTCAGTACCGGAATTCCGGTCCCGGTCCGCACTTCAAACATGAAATCCTTTTGGGAATTGGGATCCGCAATTCCGGGTGTTTAAAATTACTGTGGTTAGTTTGGGTTTGTGACCCGGTTACTTTGGAGAACAGTTCAAATCACGCTACCACGAAGCCTAAGCTTACATACCCCTACATAGTACTTACCACCGACATTGCCATAGATATCAATAATTATCCCTATCAATGGTAATTATCAATGATGATTATCCCTAATCATATAAATGACTATCCCTATCATACCATTGATAGTTGGTCATCAAAGATTCAACACCTATTTATCATAATTAGTCTATCAGTGTTGATGATGATGATGATGATGATGATGACGAGGATGATTCTGAGGATGATTCTGATGATGATTCTGATGATGATGATGATGATGATGAATAAAATAATTCAATTATGATCTATTGTCAAAGATCATCACTTACTGTAATCAATCATGAAATTCGCAAAGATTTGTGCGATTACTATCCTCGCAGCATGCTGGGACCCTGGGTGCCCAGGACGCCGTTTCGCGCTGCTGCCGGCAGCTTCCGCAAGCCTGTGATTTCTGGAGAGGATGGGGGGACATGCTGATTTCTGGAGAAACTATAATGAATTAGCATTGATTGTGACATTTAGATACATAGATGGATTTAGGATCTACAATGTATCATGATCTAAGAACGAAAATCCTAAACATGGTTCCTGGCCAGTTTGGATGGTTCCCACACTATGAACAATCCCTTCTGCAGTTGAATATGGGGTATCCTCCTACAGTCCGCCCCACTATCCGCCAAGAATCACTATATATCTTCGTTGTACGAAAATTCACACGTATATCAGATACACAATCATTATCAATATACAAATGTAGATCATAGTTAGAATATTATGTATATATATACACACCACTACTAGTATTTGTTCCTATTATTATCACGATTACTATTACAATGATATAATAATATGTATATAATTTGTATATAATATATAATATATAATATATAATATATAATATAATATATATATATATAATAATAATAATATGATAGTATATATGTATATCATTTACATGTCGTTTCGAAAAATTCTTGGGAAATTTGTCCTCCTCGACTCTGATGCGCCCAGTCACTGGACAACAAGCCATTCGCCATCTCTGCCGCCATTCCACTGCCAGGTGGTCGGCTTGGAACGCCTGGAACATCGCTGGCACCCTGGAGATTTGGGGCTGTTTTACCAACAAAAACTAGGGAAAACCATGGGGAGATCCACCAAAACATGGGGAAAACCAAGGAAAACCAACCAAAAATGGTGGATTGATGTGGATTGATGTGGATTTCACCTGCAAAAAGGGTGGGAATAATTGGGCAAACTGGGACGGTTTGAGTCGGTTTGAGGTTTGGAATTGGTCACCTAAAAGTTGTCAAAACATAGACACATCGGAAATTGAATAGTCAACTCTCATCAACTTCCATGTTTGACACAGATATGTTCACTATCTGGTTGGTGGTTTCAAATAATCCATGTACATGTATGTATAAGTATAATATGTTAATATACTTATAACTATAATGTAATAAGATGTAATAAGTAAATTGTACATTGTCTTTTCCCTTCGGGCACCTTGCAATTGTTTGGTGCCGCGTGCCGCAGCCAAGAGCAAGTTGCTCAGACCTCATGGCAAAAAAAATCTGGATCAAGTCAAACCTGGGTTGCCAATGCACCCCCCCAAAAAAAGACGTGGTGACGTGGTTTCTTTGGATTCTGAAAACCACTCAAGGCCATTTTAGTAGTTGCTTCAATCAGGATGACACCGAGTTCTTCGTGGGACAAGGCTTCCGACTGGGCAAAAGGGACTCGGAACCTCAGCAGACATCCAGTGGGATCCTGTCGACTGGAGATCCAACTCATGATTTACAGCAAAATGATAGGCCAACCCAAGATATCTTTTTTTTCGCAAGATGGAAGACATCTTGAATTGAAGATAAATGAAGATGGCTGATGGCTACATCTCGGATGTTAAACGCGGAGCTGAGAATTTGGGGAGCCGAGAATTGTGGTTCGGTGCCCAGAGCTCTCCAAGCACCGAGCTAGCTCTCTTGGAGTTCACGGTTATAGATGCCTCGCGGAAGATGCTCTGCAATTCATGGAACTGGAGGATGTTGGACTTTGGCTACTGGCTTTATTGCGGAGTCAAAACTCTCAAACACCAGCCGCCATCGTTGAAATGGACAATTTCAGCACCAAAAAAGCAGGGTACCCTCAAATTGGTCATTTTGATGGGGTGGGCTACCTAAAAATGGATGGTTACAGGAAAACCAAAATCTGTGGACCAACGGGGTGAGAATGTCTTAACTCTTGACCAACGGAGAAGACATGGAGATGGGGTGCCACATCCAGTGCTCAAGCCCCCACCGAAAATGCTCCGACTTGACCAAGATCTGCCCAAAATAGAGCGCAATCATCGCTGTAAAAGTAGTGCTGGCCGTAAAATAGCAATTGATGATCCATCCAATCCCAAGTGTTTCAAAATATCGTCATAGCTCATTCATATAGTTGTATCAGTTATATCCCTAATAAACCATTGTTATATCAGTTATATCATGTCTAATCATCCCCAAAATCCCATAGTTTCAATAGTTCACCAGGCCATCCCGCCATATCCATCCATATCCCACCTGCAGGATCATCTCCGCAAAGTGTCTGCCATCACAACTCAGCACCGTCAAGGCGCTGCAGGCCCACGCCAGCAACGGCGCGGGGGCGCCGGGGAGGACCTTGAGGATCTCCTGCGGACGTCTTCGGAAAGGGACAATGGGACCAAAAATATGGAAAAACTCGGGATATGTAGATAGTTTATAATTCATAAAATTTGATCAGAAGTTTGTATGGATATGATATATGTGTAGATGTGCTAGATGTATGATGATGTATGTAGATGTGGGTAGTGTTGAGGATGACTCAAGTTTTGGGAACAAAAATGGGAGACCAATATGGATTTTGAAGGTAACTGGTATCACATTACCAACAAATAAATACCCATAGCCAGGCTGTTTGTAACAAGGATCGGGAATGTACTCAATGAATCAAGCAACCAATAGGAAAAGAACATCTACAACCCGGGATACATCACAGAGACAGGCTGCACAAGTCAAACATAATGCCTAAAGTTTTAAGTGCTCTTCATATTGTACAGGCTCTCTGAGATGATGTAGCCCAGTAGTTCTACCCATACGGGGTACAATGCTGGTGGTCAGGAAAGATTCCCGGGTTTCTTCCAAAACTGGATGCTCCAAATGTTCTCCAAAATTCAGATAGCGTATCTAATGAGTATTTCACGAGTATTTAACACCTATCTAGCTACTTTATGCTACTTTATCGGCATTTGATCAGTTTAGGACGCGCCGTTTGATTTCCAACGATCCGGCCTTCATAGCCGCGGTGGATGCGTCCGCATGGTCGCACAAGAGCCGCCTGCGAGCCCAGTTGGTGACGTCCCATGGGGTTATCATTATTACCATTTTTATGTGAGTTGTGTTTTAAATGTCTTGCATGGCGGCACCAAACAAGGAAAAGCTTACGCTGCTGCTTACGCATTGCTTACGCATTGCTTACGCGCGCACGAGTTTTACTTACGCAAGTTATAGTACCTTACGCAGACCTTACGCGGACAATTTTTAGCACGTCACCACAGTTTCGACTTACGCGCAGCAACTTTTACATGCAAGAATCGAAGCAGTGATTGGCAAAATCAAGCAGTGGACGATGAAGATGTGGAAGAAGAGGAAGAAGATGATGAAGAAGTACCACCAGCAGAAGCTTGCCAAGCACGAAGCTGACGACGTTTTTTGACAGCACCCTTGCTGAGAGCACGGGCATGACTGGAGAGTTTCTCTTTGGGCGGCATGGGCAACTACTGGCAAAAGCACCTTTGGCTTACGCGCAGCTTACGCGACGCTTACGCGGTCCTTACGCGGATGTCAGGAAACAACTACGCAAAACACCCACTGAAGATAACCAATGTTCCTTCAAGAAAAGGCATTCCAATGCATAGGTTGCCTGTCACTCTCTGCATCTGCCCCTTTCTGATATGCTGAATTCTTAAGTACATGTGGGTCCCTGCAAACCTCGAACAGCGAATCTTTTCAGTTTATAAATGGTCCATATCGATAGAAATGGGGAAAACCATCCATACTCTATAATGCCAGGCAACCTGAAATTGATACCAAAACCATGCAGGTGTGTTGAACTGAAAGACAGGAGGGCTACCGTGGCCCCAGGAAAATCAAAAACCCGTCCGGTCATGTCAGGTTAGGATGCATCATACATACCACTACTTAAAACCTCATATAAAAACCGTTGAAAATGAGCTTACGCCATCCTTACGCCAGCAATATTGGTAAAAAATGCTTACGCAAGCTTACGCGCACCAGTGTTTTGCTTACGCCACAGGCCCTTACAAGGATCCCAATACTAAACATAAACACGGAGGTTTAAAACGCGGCTCATGTAGCCGTAATTGGGGGTATACCATGGTATACCCCATTTTCAGAGACATACTTGACATACTTCATCACGCATCTCCCATCATGGGGCTGTCAGGGAACTTACAGGAAACCAAGTTGTTCCCATGCCCAGCCAGTTTTTTTCCAGATCCTTTCCGTCAAAAATCCGCGCTGCAACCCCCTGAGCTCCATGGCATAGCTCCCAGAGCACATAGTCCACTCTCCCGAAGCGCTCCAGGGGCGATGGGCACTCCCGTTTTCGAGGAGCTATCCTGGTGACCATGGGGAGGCCGCGACGTGCGGCATCCAATTTATTTTGGCCATGTCAACTGTTGTACATAAAAAATACCATGACCAAATACTCCGAATAGAATCATGTAAATATGAAATGATATGAATAAAGTGTAAGTTGCAACACAACAGCTATATCTAAAACATGCTCTTACGATGGATCCTTGGCCTTCCGCATCTCAACAAGTCCGAACTGTCCAGTCCTCTCGAGGAACCAAGGCAAGGAAGCTGCGAATCACAAACAGCCACAAAGGTACCTTTTCGGAGGGCACGGTCCCTACGCCAGGCACTTGGCTGGAAATCTGGAAATATATAGATAACATTGGATATATATATATATATATAACTATACTGACAATACCCCGAAAATCCATTGATCATGAAAAAAACGTCATAAATTATCCCCTTTTGTTGTGGGATCCATCAAGAATTGGAGGATCCATCAAATCCAGTCAACGCAGGGGTCCCTTGAAAAACCACGGGGCACGTCGTTTCCCAACGCAGCAGCAGCACCTGCGAAGTCACTGGGGTCACCCCACCATCATTAAGATCCCTTTTTTAATGGGTATATAACCACGATGAATCTAGAGATTAATGGAGATATGAACATCTCCCAATATGGGTATATATTATTATTATTATTATCATCATTATTATTATTATCATCATTATTACTACTATAAGCCAAGCCGTCTCAGCCGTCGTGTGGACCAAGACCTCCAAGACCTCCAAGACCTCCGTGCCGTGCACCTTCCGCACTAAGAGATCTTCGATCTTTGGTCTCCTTGGTAACTCGTGCCATGTGCGATGTGGCGATGATGGCGATATTCCATATTGAATATAAATAAAAGATGTATCCAAAAAATGGAATATATATACATATATATATACTAATATATAATATTAATTAATAAATTATATAATCTCTCCCGGAATATCTTCGAAAAACATATCCGAATATATCATCGAATATCGGTCATAGGGAAAACAATGATGAACCATTGGTTTTTTCAGCTTCATCACGGCAAGGTCGCCAAGGTACGCAGGCGATGCTGCTGTCCAACAAGATGAAGAACTTGTCCAGGGTCTTGGAAGGTGGGGGAAATGAATCACCAGCGAAGCAAAAAAACAAAAAGCATCAAACAGTGCTGAGCAAACAGTGATGCTGCTTTGAAAAAATCATGGGAAAAAATTCGCTGTCAAAATCATCAGACCACACTGGGGCTTTGAGTGGAGGGAAGGGGTCACTTGGACAACCAAAATCGCATTTATTTGTCTCAAGAGTCTCCAGCTTTCTATAGAGCCAGTGTGTTCCACCACTGTGGAACTCTGATCTGGCTTTCCTGGTCCATCATTCACCTGATGTTTCCCTCACCACACGAACATCTGAACAACAGGCCCAGATCAGCTTCCAACAGATGCCAGGGCGAACTGGGCTTCCCAAACAGGTTGGCTCGCTGTGCAATTGTTGCTACTTCCTGCAGGTTCAAGATCCCCAATTCATTCTGTTGTAAAAGAGAGGCAATGTCTGCTACTTGGCAAAGGTGTCAAGCATTCCAGTCACCAGCTGACTGAGTTCCAGCTGCAGCAAATCAATGAAGCTCAGTCCCCCAGTCCCATCATGTCTCATCCCATCTATTTGCCATGGGGTGGATCAAAATTCAAGAATATTCAAGAGTCTATTTCTGCTTTTACACCATACCCATACCATTTTGATTGGGGCTATCCCATTTTGACCCTTAAACCCAGTTAAACCCATACCATCCCAGGCCTACCATCCCATATCAATCGGTTTTTTCCATCACCCCAGCCTGCACAATAATTATTGTCCGAGGAAGCACCCGAGTGTGAATCCAGTGGCGGCCTGGACGAGCTAAAATTCCGCAGAGCGAATTCCCATCGAAAAAGAGTAAGCCATATATAGGATAGAAAAGCCTATATATATATCTATATATCAGTATTTGGAACACTAGTTTCAGTGGGATTTTATATATTTTATATACTTGTTCTATCTTTACTTTCAGAAAGGAATCGAATTAAAAAGAAGAATCCTCTGAACACATCCTGTGACCATGCTTCCGAGGCAACCACGCTGGAGGTCGAAGTGCTAAAGCCGCGAAAGCCCTGGTTGAGATTCGACGCTGTGTGCTGACCCTTGGGATCCCCTGGGCCCCTGGGCTGTTCAAGTTGGAGACCATTTCAGTAGATTCTGATGGATTCTGGCTACCTGGGGACTTACTTGATCAACGAGGGTTTATCAATCTGGGGTTGACAAGTTGACATGATGGATTGTTGGATTGGATAGGTGACTCCTATTTGAAGGCATTTGCTTGAGTCTTTGGTTTGGCTCCCACTTTAAGGGCACTTTGCTGCATAGTGACATAGTGGATTACACTTTATCACACACTCAACTCAGTCAGTCAGGGGTTGTGAAATTCGAAGCAAACCTACAAGTCGCTCACAAGGCATGGGTCAAAAGCACTACAGGGTCGAGCAAAGTCATCATCCCAACTCCTCCAACTTCAATGGAAACACCAGCTGCCCCTCCCCAAGACTGATCAAAACTCATATAAAACTTCCAGGAAGAATCCCCCAGGCCATCAGGTGTCCTGCAGCCCCAGGCAAATAATTTGGCGCTGCTGGGATTTCGTTGCATAGCCAGGACCTTGGCGAAAGCCAGGACTTTTGGAGAGACCCACTGTCGCACAAGATACTTCTTGACATCGCCACGGCCAACAGGGGATGAAACCATTTCTTTTTAAAAAAATGTCACGTATAACGATATGTTATTTTATATATATATGTATATATGTATATATATATTAACTCATACATATATATATATATATACATATATATTTATAATCCCCATCTTTCCCCATGTCATCTGAGCTTCACACCACTTGCTGCACGCCGGAGGCCAGGACGCCTTCGAACTCTTCACGCGCAGGCCTTGGGAAGTGTCGTCGAACCGAGGAATCACTTATAGAAAGATGATCTTATATGGTGTTTAATGGTGTTTAATGGTGTTTAATGGTGTTTAATGATAGTTGATGATGTTTATTAGAGATCTGAAACTGGATCAATAATTAATAATCAATATATTTCATTACAAATCATATAGAGAATAATCTAGATCAATCAATAGAATAGATCATACGTAGATCAGGGCAGAAGTTATGAACCACTTCGAATCTAAGAAGCGGCTGGCAGTCATGGCTACAATACCGCCTGCAAATTGTTTTAAGAATAAGTTAGGGAAAGGAACTACAGATTGAGTCTTGCAGAATTTATACGACATGATTGTAGAAAAAAGAGGAACCGGTATCCCAGTTCGTTGGTATATCAATGGTAAGCATGTCTCATTTGGGAAGTCTCACTGCCTAAGAAATTAGACATGTTCCTCTGCTTTGGGATGATATAGAAAATGTTCCCGCCGATGTCCACCGACAGTACAGAGCATGTTTGGGACACTACAGTAACAGATTTAAGCAAACCGTCCTAGTAGTGTCGCCTGGCGAATGTCCCAGCAAACTTGGACAAGCGAAGTCAAACCAAAAAATCCCGGAAAAACATGGAAAAAACAAATATGCAGAACTCCGCATTTCCCAGATTTTCCAAGGAGATCCTGATGGTCGCAGCTGCTCCTTTTCTGGGAAGCCACAGTGGCAGTCTTGAAATCTCCCACAGTCTAAGCCCATGAATCGTGGCCACCGGAATCGACGACAACGACGGCCGCAACGGAAGACTTGGCGACACTCTTTGGCCGCCCGGGTCGTGGCCCATCTGGATCCGCTGGTTGCGAATTTGAGCAACGGGAAATTCAACAGCTGTGGTTCATCTCTTCGTCCCAAAATATCAAAACACAGGAAAAGAACAATACAGAATTGTCCCAGGTAATATATTTATATTATATTCTTAATAAAGCAATCGTAAACCACCCGCAAATTGACCATTTTCATGGGATGCTTTCTCAATGATCCATGCTGGTCACTGCTCAGCGCAGGTCGATGCCCACAGATTTCAGGGCACGGTCCAAGGAGCTGGGTGGCCTGGTGCTGCTCTGGGATCGTTGCTGCTTGGCCCAGGCCCATAGCAGCAAGTTCAACCTCAAAGCAAAGTGAATGTCATGGGAAATTGTGCTGGAAATTGGTTTATCTCAATATGATTCATGTGTCTATATAATATGATATTATATACTTGGTATATTACATATACATATATATATAGCATTGTGACTGTGATTCATTCTGTATATTACATCGCATCAAGATTGGATCGAAAAATTGAGAGCCTTGGAAGAACTGAATTCTGGGTGGCCATCTGAATGGAGTTTGCCGCAAAGGCACATGGCTGCCAGAATAAAGCCCAGCTGACAGATCAGCTTCATCTGCAAACCTGCAAAAATTCGGCCCCGTCTGGCAAGGTCCGGGAAAGCTGGATGAAGCTGTTGTGGTGTTGCAGTTTCAAAACATAGAGGAGATTTTTGGGGAAGTCTCGCAAAGTGATGCTCAAAATGCCTTTGAAAAATGGTTGATTTTTGGTTGAATGGAAAATATCCAGGAAACCCTGGTTTCCTAGATTTTCCCTATCCATTGACATCCATTGACCAACCAAATATCTCCATCTTTTCATAGGTCAAAACCCCAAGCATTTTTGATGGCTCAGGCCCTCACCGGCGCCAACGAACTGTCCAAAATCCGGGTTGGACCTCACTTCGCGCATCACCTGGGTCACTCACAGGTGCTGAATCACTGGCTACGCTAGGCTATGCTATACTGATGTGGCCTGGGTTGGTGTCTCAAAACCAAAATCCGGAGCCCCTGGAAACTTCAGAATGATTAGAATGATAGTTGAAAGGTTTTTTGTGGAAAGAAGCGCTTCAACTCTGCCGCATCCAAGGACGATTTCAATAAATCCTATTGGTCATTGGTCCAGTAAGGGAATCCTGGGCGATGGCTCCACCGTCCCAACCTGTCCCAACCACCAATTGCCCTTGGCCCCTTGGCCGAAAAGGGGCCCTTTCAAATTGCTGCGCTTGCATGCGAACAGGGTCATCATATGCATCTGGAAAGATCTTCTCCTTGCGATTCATCTCCTGGCGTCACTGAAGCAAACAATCCACAGCAAATTGGTCACTTCACATGGTGTTTTAGCATGTTTCAGCCATCAAAACTGAGGAAGGTTTTAAGAAAATTGCCATTCCATTCTGGCAAAAAAAATCTGATTTCATCATATGTCAACTCAATGTCATCCATAAGCATCAATAGCCATGGCAACCATCTCCCCTATCTCCATCCCCCCAATGCCTGGCGCATCCGCTCTTGCTGTGCTGCTTGTCGTAGATCCTCGTACCAATGCATCTTGGGCGCAGTGTTCTGTGCAGCATATGCTGCCTGCTTCGCCGCTCGGTGGCGAAGAATCTGGCTGTTGGTTTCAAAGCCTGGAGAAAAGAGTCAGCTCAGGGGAAGAAAAATGGTGAGATTTCAAAGGTTATCTCATGTTATCTCTCTGATGTATAAGATCCTTTCTGTTTCAGTGGATTAGATAAGCTTAGATTCTATCTCCCAGGGTTCTACGTGGGCTAGGGAAGGTCATAGCTTAGCCCAATGTGGGTCCTGCAAGGTATAAAGTACTGTCGAGAATTGATGCCCAACCCCCGCGGAAAAGTTGCGTGTTCTTTTGTCTGCTCACCATCCGTCCACTTTTGGAGGGGTAACTCCAAGTTTGACCGCAAACCATCATAGATATCTTATACCATTATCATTCTATATTCACATGTTGTATGATTTTCATATTTCTGTTGATGGATCATCATTCCTGGGTCCCCATTCTTGCTGTAGATCTCCCTAGGTTTCACCCATCGCGCAACGGGTGGTGCTGTCATAGGCCAAGCGTTGCTGCGGACAACGCAGAGTCTCCCAGGCCCGCTGGACGCGTTGGAAGTGCGCGCCACTTCCATGGGAGTTGGCCACCTGCCGCCCGGCGGTGACGTTTTTTAATGAGATGTTCATGGGAGTTTTACCAGCAAACATTGTGATGTCATGTGAGTTTAATGGGATTTGATTAGGAAAATTGTGATTTCATGTGATTTGACTAGCAGAAATAGCGATTTAATATGAGATGTTACTAGGAAAACATGTGATTTCATAGGATTTTGCCAGCAAAAATGGTGATTTCATGGGATGTTCATGGGGTGATTAGATGGGATTTTTGTTAGCTAAGTTCATACATAACTAACAAAACTGTTGAACTGTTGTGGTTTTGGTGGATATACTGAACTCAATTAATTCCTAGACCTAGTTACTGGGGGTAATTTTAACCAACTTAGAACTGGGGGACACCACCTGGTGGTCATCATGCGCTCAGAATCACCAGAGTTGAACCGCACTGTAGGGAAAACTGGCCCGGAGAAACCTGGTTGCTTTTCAAAGTTTCCATGAACTGCTTCGCATATTTCCCTGATCCTCAAACATCAACTATCCATCAACATCCAGTCACCTTCGTGTGTCTCATTCCCTGACTCAATATCAAGGTCCAAGAGACATCCGGATGATGTTGCTTGGCCATGCGCAGATACGCCTCCCGCAGCTCTCCCTGCGAGGCATTCGGACGCACCCCCAGCGCGGCGTAGAGATCGCAGCAGCGTTGCGCGCTGCGCCGGAGCATGGCGCAGCAGGCGCTCAGCCAATCCGATGCGCTGCCGGCACGGCGGACGCGAAATTTGGGGAAATCTAAAGAGATAGGCAATGAATAGCAACGATAGGTACTTGTATATAGAGATATATGATAATATATTGAATATATCATAGATCAGAAGGAAAAGGTTACATACTGCCCTTGAATGATCCAAAGTGGACAAGTTCTGATGTGTCGTAGAAGCTGTTTGAAGGTTTGAAAGTTGCGAAAATTGTTGACTTTCGATCAAACACCTGGAGTTGTCTATTCGTCTTATAAGTGGAAAACCCTTCCCTACAGGAAGTTGGACCAGCTGAAGCCCGACAGTTTTCTGCGGCTGCTTGTCTGTCATGAATTTGGCGTGTTTTTTGTGCATGCTGCATGATCTTCAAGCTGTGCTGGGGATATTCTTATTGGAAGGAATCTCAGGAGAACTTGATTTTGAAGCAATGAACTCCAACCAAATTGTTCATTATGGAAAAGCAAATCGAAAAATGGTCGAACATCAAAAAACTGTCAACAAACGTCTTCATCGCATCAATTTCTGATTCTGAACCAAAAATACCCACAGGCAAGGCCCAAAAGGGGGCCCTATGGCCCTATGGTGCTTTCACACCAGGTGCTGCCATTGGGTGCAAGCGGCTGTACAGCACGTTCTCGCAACCGCCGGCAGGCAGTGGCAGGCCACGACTCCACCGCGTCCTGGAAAAATTGGATGATGGGAAAATTGGAACCCCTATATTTGATGGTAAAAGCCAAGGTAAAAACCATGGTTGATCCGGTTAATCCGCTTAAGGGTTTTTTTCCCTGAAGAGGATGCTTGAAAAACATTCAGTCACAGTTTCAACCAGTACTGAGTACTGTGCTTTGGAAGAAAAGCATGTTGTCATGCCTTCTACACAAAGTGGGGCCATCAAGCAAAATTGCAAATTCATGCAAATTCAGCCCTGAAAATTACAAAACAACCTGTTGTCTCAGATTCTAAGACATGGGACAAGGATTGGACAAGGAAGCTGTTCATCACATCATAGCAAAAAAATCCAGCTTCAGCCCGCGCCCAATCACCCCAATCACCACAATCACCAGGCGCGCCTCTGGTCGAATACCAACACTACACTCTACCAGCTGCTGACAACATGCTACCAATGCAGCAGGATCATGGACTTCCAGCCTGAGGAAATCAGTTCAACCGGAAGCACGGCGGGAAATCATGGCTCTGTATGCCCGGAAGCATTCTTTGTGCTGGTGGATTGACAAGAGAACCCTGGAGAATCTGGGAACTGATGGTGCAACCAGCAGAAAATTGCTTCATCAGGAGTACTCTACTTGCCAATTTCGCACAACTTTCCACCATGGAAATTGGTTTTCCACTTGGATCCACCAATGGCAAATAGTCCCACATAGAAAAGGTCTCTTCATAGCTTCTCTGCAAATGTCAAAAATTTGGGGGTGTTAAAGCCACCATTTACCCCACCAAACAACCAATGTTCAACCTTCAACACCTCTCAAACTCAAGAAATCGGACGCCGCCATGGAGACTGGGGCTTCGTCTCTGTTGGTTTCCCTTCGTTTGAAACTGGGCCACCACACTCCATGCGGCGCACTACACGCTTCGCGGCAGCCAAAGTGCTTTGTTGCAGCATCATGTCCTCATCAGATGGGGCCAAATTTTGAGACTCAATCAACTGCAGAGTTGGTCCATTTTGATCCATTTTGAAGATGAAGCATCCAATTCTTGGGGCACCAGTAATTGCATGTAATTGCTAAGTGCAATTAATGCGCTCATGAATCTTGACCCAGACCAGTGGGATGATGCAGTCAGCATCCCTGCTCCGCATTGAGGCCCGAACTGCCAAGCCACCATCTGCACAGAAATCCTGCAATTCGCTTCACTACCGAGATATTTCATGAATTCCAAGATTCCAAGTCGGTTGTTCAATGACAATGAAGTCCCAGGCCAATTCGGCAAGCCAAAGCTGCTCAGCTTCTTATTCAATGGGATTCCATGGGATTCCAGCTCTTGGATATGAAGCTCCGGTCTCAGCTCTCCTTCAACGAAATCCGCCCGGATTTGTCTCTGTCCTGCCATGGCTTGGTCCATGGACCAAAAAACACCCCAAGCCGAAGGCTTTCCCTTCCAAGGATCATCAAGTATATCAAATATTGACCATCAAATGGTGGACAATGGATGGTCATGATTCTGGAATGATTGTGCTTGATCATTATATATCATTCTTATGGATGAATTTTGGATAAATGTTGGATGACTTTTATATGAATGTTGCAGGATTTGGCAAACTCCCAGGTCAACCTCAGTGACGAGGACTCGTCACTTTTCCAAGGCCCAAGCCCAAAGCAACCAACATCGCTCGATCCACTCCCGACCTAGGGACCATTTGGGGATCTGTCAAAACACTGGAAAATCCAACTGGGAGCCACTGAGCCTCTTCGAAACACAAGTTGACAGTCACAAATCAACAGAAATCAACTTGCGATTCTAGGGGGACAACATGGGACAACATTTCCGTGCCGATTTTGACAGAAAAAATCCTGGAACTTCGCCATGGCCGATGAAGACACTGGGAGCCCCATGCTGGCAGCCACGGCTGAGGCTTCCAAGGAGGAGGTTCCACACGACTTTAGAACCTGAGCGCCACGAAACGCGTTGGTAAACGCCACGAAACCGTCCGTTGGTGGACCCTCAATACGGTAACTACATATTCTTTCAGTTTTTTGCAAGCAATGAGAAGTGAAAATGAAGGAAACATGTCTAGTCATTTTTTGATATTGGACATTGCCAACCAGTGTTTTGGGATGCTTAGAAGGTGGATTTGTTCATGCAGACTGTTTCACCACCCACATCTGAGGAATGGACCGCACGCAACACCTCCGCCTGGTCTCATTTCCAATGCGATGCGCCGTCATCGGGATGAAGCAAAAACAACAATAGATCTGTAGCGATTAACAAGGCATATCATCTGTATAGGCATAGTATGGCATAATGTATCATAATGCTATAATCTATTGAATCATCATGTTGTCATACTTGATCCTACTTGGAATACAGCATATATCACCATATCATGTCCATATTACACACCGCCCATCGCCTTGCCCATTTCCTGCGTGCCGGGGCTGGTCCAATGTCTAAACCTCGATGTGGCGCCAGCAGCCAAGGCCAGGCTTCTCCAAAACAAGAAATTGCAGGGCGAAGATCGAGGAAAATGGTGATGAAAATTGATGAACCAGGATTTTGGGCTTACTATGTGAGACAAGTCCTGTTCTTTGAAGTCTCAACATGGCGAGAGCAGTCTCTGAGCTTCAGGCCATCCTTCACCTGGGTTCAAACATCAACTGAGCAAAACATATCCAGACATAGCAGTGTGTCAAAACCTTGTACCCCTGGTGAACATCAAAATAGCTGGTAAATGGATGTTCATCCCACTAAAAATGGTATTAATAGGTATTGATCCATACCCACATCACATCAGCTGCTAATCTGAGGCCCAACGGTCTTGCTCCAAAGGTGGAGGAGGCCTGGGACTGTCAAAATCGCTGCCATGATCAGCGGGCTTTCCAACAATGGCTATCTGATGGTATCTGAACATCGGGATACATAGGGAACGAGTACCTCCAAATTTGACGACAAGCCAGGCCTTTGGGATCCACGAGGTGCGCCCTTGTTCCGTAGCGACCGGGTTCCCCAACCCTTTTTCTCGCTCTTCCTGTAGCTCTTCCAGATGCTCTGCCAGCCATCTCCTGTAGCACCGCAAGTTTGCCCTGAAAAGTCCAACGAAATGAGTACAGTATCGCTAAAGAAGAAAAGCTACAAAAAGAACAATGAACATCAATGAACTTTGGAATGGAACAAATCTGCCTTCGGAAGATTTCAAGCAACAAACGCAAGTTGGATTGGCTACACACTGCACTCGAATTTTCTTCTTTCACCTTTCCTTGCTTCACTTTGCCGCTTCCCAAAGGACAGTGACACGCTGGGGACAGGACAGCAATCCACTCTCAGCACAGAAAGCCCCCCGTGATACACGACCCTCACCATCTGGGTCCTCGCCAGGTCACGCCGAATCGTTCAATGTCCAAACCTTTTGATCGTTGAAGCCACTCAGGTTCTATTCCATCTAACTCTGTACATGCTCACTTCCCGCATCCCGCCACCGGGCCACGGTCCCATTCTCTCCAAAGAGAGCCGCGCAGAGATGCCTGTGGCCGTTGCAGGTAATCCTCATAGCACTGGTACCCTCGGACATTTTAAAGAAGAAAAGCATCGAAGACTATCGAAGTAAATGATGGATTTTCCAGCCTGAGTCACAAATGTCACAAGCCTTGTTTGATTCCCAGAGGGTAACCATGGCTACGATCCGAGTATTACGCGGCTATCCCGGTTCGGAAACTTGCCAACTAGGCTTTCGAACCACTAAGTGGGAGGATTGTAGTGACTTTGTAGTGATGGATTCCCCTGTGAAATTAACACAGACAACATTCCTGAAACAAGAACCGACTACTGTGGCACAAGCCCTTCCTCCATTCCGCTGTGGATAAAAACTTACAAAGTCACCCCTCTGCAAAAACGATCCCAGAGATTTGGGGTCCCTTAAGCTCCCCTTGGTAAAACCATATTCAAAACATCCAGCAAAACATTCAGCCACAACTCCAGTTCCCATTTTTGGTGGCAAACAAGACACAGTCGGATCACCCACCTCCAGTTTCGTGGCATCCACTGGCACAACTGCAGGCAAGACCTGGCGAACAACGTGCTTCTGCGCTTACCACTTGAATCTACGGCCACTGTAATATTACACGTATCAAATATCGGATCTTTTATATGTCATTATGACATATGTATCATATGTGTGTTTGTTCCTTAATATCTTGCCATATCAAATGTATCAGATGACGTGAATGTACCAAGATATAGTAGAAAGTATAACTACCATCATAGTTATAAATTAGACATATATTATACATGTAGTTATACACAATATATATACACATAATATATATATATATATATGTACATAATATATATATATACATATATACTAAACAACCAAACATATCCAAATATACCAAGAATCAAGACATCCAGGACATCAGGACGGGCCTTCTCCAGTAGCTGCAGCTCCAAGTAGCCAGAGCCGTCTTCGTCGAAGAAGGCGAACCACCCGGCTGGGTCCTGCAGCGGGCGATAGATCTCCTGGGAAGATGCAAAAATGCGTAGAACTGATGATAACTGATGTAGAAGCTATATGAAATAAATGAAAAACATTTAAAAAAAAAAACTGAAAATAAAAATCAGATATATACAGTAAGTCATGACAGTTGAATTCTGATGAGAAAAAACCAAAAGGAAAACGCCAAATGTGGTGGACCCACAATAAAATCAAAAAATGGCAAAGAGCGAGACGCAAGAATTGGCTGAAAATGTCGCAAGTAGGCTTCCAATAAGTTCACAAAATGTATTTTGACTAATGTGGGTAAAGCCGGTAAAGCAATAGTAAACTATCTCCAATTTTACCATAAATGGGTGGTATATACAGAATTATACAGATACATGATACCCTCTGGTAAACTAACATAACTATGGAAAATCACCATGTTTAATGGGAAAACTCACTATAAATGGCCATTTTCAATAGCATTCAATAGCTATGTTAGTTTACCAGAGGGTACATGAATAAACCATGAAAATATGGGGGGGTTCTTATTGCTTTACTAACATTCCCAGGTGCTGAAGATCCGCCCTGCCTCGCGCGGGTCGGGGGGTCGTGCTGGAGGCGGTTGAAACTGCTGGCGACACACGGGACAGCGCGGGTTGGTGGATTGCGAGGCCAACTCTGTGGCACAGGCAGCGCAGAGGAAATGCCCACATACCCGACCTGGGTAGATGGGGACGGCTGAGATCTTGTGGGATGGTTCACCATGGTTCACCATGGTTCACCAATATCCCACTTGGATCCACTTGGCCCATTTGGGAAGATTGCATGGTGAATAGCCGGATATGGCCGGAGTTCTGTCTGAAATTGCCTGGGTACAGTATGGAGCCCTTTGTGTTCACGGGGGTTTGATTCTAAGACCACATGCCCAAGTTCTGTCTCTGCCTCTTTTCGGCTTTCAGCTAAGACTATTTGTTTTCCAACAAATGACCTGTAATCGAGTCCGGCTCGCTACAACTTTGTTAGCTGATCCTGGACTTCAGAGCTGTCACCACCATACTGCGGATCACCCCAAGTAGCAACTGATCCATCTGCCATGATGGCAACAAATGCTCTTGCTGTGGCCTGAACCTCCTGCACATTCTTGAGCTGGTCTTGCACTTGAGAGCTTTCACCGCCGGCCTTAGGATCGCCCCACGTAACAAGGGATCCATCCACAAGGATGGCTGCAAATGCTCTAGTCGTGGCCTGGATTCGCTGCACATTCTTGAGCTGGCTTTGGACGTCTGAGCTGTCACCACCATTACCTAAATCGCCCCAGGAAACAACAGATCCATCAGCCAAGATCGCCGCAAATGCAGAACTCGTGGCCTGAATCTGCTGCACGTTCCTCAGCCGCTTATGAACTGCAGAGCCGTCACCACAGGCGCCCCACGACACAACCGATCCATCTGCCAGGATTGCAGCAAATGCAGAATCAGACGCCTGAATCTGCTGCACACTCTTGAGCTGATCTTGGACTTGAGAGCTGTCTCCACCATAAAGCGGATGGCCCCATGTAATGACAGATCCATCAGCCAAGATCGCAGCAAATGCTCTGGATGTGGCCTGAACTTGCTGCACATTCTTGAGCTGGTCTTGCACTTGAGAGCTTTCACCGCCGGCCTTGGGATGGCCCCACGTAACAAGTGATCCATCAGCAAGGATAGCTGCAAATGCATTAGACGTGGCTTGAATTTGCTGCACCTTCTTCAGCTGACTTTGGACGTCGGAGCTGTCCCCGCCAAAATCTCGAGTGCCCCACGTAACCACGGATCCATCAGCCAGGATTGCTGCAAATGCTTCCGATGTTGCCTGAATCTGCTTGACATTTCTGAGCCGATCTTGAACGGCAGAACTGTCACCACCAGCATCCGCATCGTCCCATGTAACGACGGATCCATCTTCCAGGACTGCGGCGAAGGAAGAATTTGTGACTTGAACCTGCTGCACTTTTTGGAGCCGTTTGTGGAGCTCAGACATATCATTTTCTTCATCGAGGTCTCCCCATGAAACAACCGATCCATCCGTAAGGATCGCAGCAAAGGCCCCATCAGTGGCTTGAACGTGCTGCACCTTCTTCAGCTGATGTTGGACTTCAGAGCTATCACCACCACAAAGTGGGTCACCCCAGGTGACAGTTTTGTCACCGCAGCACAAGGCAAAAGCTCTTGAAGATGCTGCGACCTTCGTTTGTTGCACAATAGCCATGAGGTGGTCTCCCTCGTGAATTCCTGCAGCCTGCAAGGATTCTGTATCAGTTACGACACGCCCTTCTGAAGTGACAAGCCGCAAACGCCCTTGTTGAAATGTCTTCTGGGCCAGAATTCTCAGATCTCCTATTTCAGAGGACTCTGCGAGCAAAAGGCTTTCACTTTGACCACTTGGCAAAGCCACGGTTACTCGAAGCATGGGGCGAACTGAGACTTCTAAAAATGCGAAATTGATGAAATTGTGATTGATTTCATTTGATGATGTGGGGGGTTCCATACATGGGGGATCCCCAATAGCTGGATGGTTTATAATGGAAAGTTCTATTTTTCAATGGATGATTTAGAGGTACCCCCATTTCAGGAAACCTCCATGTCTACCTAAAAATCCGAGCCAAATCCTCTCAGGCAATATGCATGGCTCCCTTCAGCATGTCTCTGTTGACTTCGGCATCAATCATCCACTCGAATGTCCCCGGTAAAACATGTCCCCAACATGTCTCACTTAAACCATGCGTGGTTTCAGTTGGTTTCACCATGGTTCAACATTGGCCAAACTCCACCGAAACCACATTGCCTGAAACGAGATGGTCAGAGGATGCAGGTGCAGTGGCATCATGGATGCAAATAACCCTACATATCCATAAATACATGCATATCTACGCATCTATTCTATTATATTCGATCCAATCCTGGCGACAAAAGCTCCTATACTAATTTGTTGATGATGAGTTGGTAGTTTTTAATTCCCCAGGAAAATGTTGCGTTTCCATCTCCTCAAACCTGCAGCTCATCCAAGTTACGCCCGTTGGTATCGAAGAGCACCGCTGGACCACCTTCGCCTGAGGTGCAAGGGGTGGCTTCACCAACAAAAATGGGTGAACAAATCGTCCAGAACTGGATGGAAACCATGAGGCCGCACTGCCAAACTCCTGAGGCAACGGCAAAGAGCTCTGAAGCAAACTGGGCATTCAGCCAGACCTTCAGCCTCGCACAGTGGCAAAATTGATCGTTTCCAACAACCAATTCGAGCTGTTCACAGATGTTCACAGATGTTCAACATCAAACAAATCAAAACTCCAAGGCATCAAAATGCCCGGCATTTGAACCAAAATTACTGTAGCTGTGGGTCAAAACCTTGTTGCCCTGCGGTGAAAACATCCAATAACATCCAATAACAATCATTATAGCTGGAAAAATAATGGAAGTTCATCCCCCATTCATATGGTCATGATGGAAGTGGATGAATCCATCATGAATTCGTGAGCATTCGCCCGAAATATGGATAGGTCTTGCACTAAATCATTGAACAAATCTCCAGCATCCTCATCTCATTTGCTGACCTCCGGCGCTGCCGGTCTCAGCCACGCATCGCGATCTTCGGCCATCTGCCCTGGAAGTTTGGGAATTCATCCAAGTCGGAAATAGGCGTGATAAGGTTTTAGCTTAAAAACTGTTGCGAAAAATTAAATCCGTGCAATCTATTTTGTTTGTGTAAATATACAGTTTATTAAGATCCATGGTTGTATCGTTTTGTTCATTTCAATAGATATTGTGGAAATCCTCCAGGGTTTCCGAAGTCATCTTTGACTTTTTTCCTACGAAGGTTAGGTACCTGAACATGTTGAGGCAAAAAAGTCCGATAGTAAATCATCAGTTTTCAGCACGTTTCACTATTTTTGAATGGCCACAATGGCCATCATTTTGGGCTAAATCTCCCATGATCACCGAACGAAACTCAGCCGGCTTGACCCACTAGTCGTTTGGCCAACTCGCGGTGTCCACCTCGGGACCCGGATGCACATTTTATATAAACCAAAAGACATCAGCTTCGTATCTGATCATCCCCTGTCCCCAAAATATTGAACACCCCCCAATATCAACATATGGCAGTGTGTCAAAACCAATAGTACCCCTTCTGTTCACATCAAAATAGCTGGGATTTATGGATGTTCATCCCCCTAAAAATGGTATTAATAGGTATTGATCCATACCCATATATCAACCATGGTGTGGGGGATATTTCAACCACTTGGGGACCATTGGACTATTGGACGACTCGACTGTCGGGCCGCTGGGGCCCCCTTGCCCTCCACCGCCGCACGCAATGCGCGTGCTTGCGCGACCAGATCGCTGTCCAGTGAGGCGCCGCGGTCCTAGTGGGGCTGGGATTCCTCCAAGAACCGACCACAAGGTGAGGCCTCCGTTTTTCATAGCTCAGTCGACGCACATAACTTGGTGAATTCTATGGTTTATGGGAAATGAGTAGCTGTATAGTTGGGGGTTATAAACCAACTTATACCGGGGGGCCCTCACCTTGTAGGTTTTTTTGGGATCCACAAAATCTGTGACAATGTGCCAAAATCTGTCATTTCTGGTCTTCGACTCTTCCTGACCATCCATTTTCGGGGCATAGAATGGATGTTTTCATTGCACAATGTTAACGCAGGACTAGTAAAACCCCAGATTGTTGATCGGATGGGTACCCATGTTTGTTCGTCTCACTATTTTGAAGCAACCCATGTTGCCGTTTGCCGGGTCCCCTTGTGGTCCCTTTGTCTGCGGTTTCACCGGCCCACCATTCGCTAAGGGGCAAAGAGCAACAGCGCCACTTCATCCCAATTCAGATCCAACGCCTGAAAGGTAGTGGATGAGGAATCAATCGATGCCAAAAATACCGGAAATCCATGGATTTCATCATCGATAGGAGTCTAAATGTTCGCTGAAACAAATAGAAGGACGTTTTTGTCTTTGGCAAAATTTTCTACGAATTGAATATTCGGACTCAGAATTGGTGCAGACTAGTGCAGACTGTGGCCCGGTCCATGATCCAGTTGGTGGTTTCAACGCATTTCCACATGTTCACCAACAAATCTAGATGCTTCAGCAAAATGATCAGATTTCAGTCCGCAGTGCGCCCCTTCCATTGCTGGTCCCTAAATGTTCTTCCATCGCTGCCCCAGGGACCTTTTCAACAATGGACTTTCCATCGGGAAGTCGGCCAGTGACCTCAAAGAGAGAGGTGTTTCAGGTGGGGTCAATATTGATGGGTTGATCGCTACGTGCGTGCGGCATTTTGGGGAAACCAGGAATTCATGAGATGAATGGAAGAACCATGGGCTGGTTCATGATGTTGACTCAAGTGTTCTTCCACTGATTCGGCATGAAGATCATGATTCCTATCAAGCAAAACATGCAAATCGAAACACTCACACTCAACCATCAATTTTGGGAATTGTTGGCAATGTGTCAAAAACTGATTGGAGAACGTGTATATACATTTAATGGTTGGTGAAAATAGAGTGTCCCAGTTCGTGGATCATTATAATCCCCAGCATATAAGAGGTAGATTAATAACTCATCAACCATATTATTTTGATGGTTGCAATCCCTAAGAATGATGGGTTCACTCCCCATTGAATAACTGCGGCTTCGCTGTCATGTTGCTGGTCACTTATCCCTATTGGGTCCCGATGATTTCCCTTTTTAAAATGGTAATAATGGTAATACCCTCTGGTAAATTAACATAACTATTGAAAATGAGCCATTTATAGTGGATTTACCCATTGATAGCATGGTGATTTTCCATAGTTATGTTAGTTTACCAGAGGGTAATTCATGATCGACCAAGTCCTTTAATTTCCCATAACTTATCCCATAATTATCCAATAATTTTAAGGTACTTGTCCAAGAATGAAACCAAGCTACCTGTGGTTGGTTAAGTCCCCCAATGGTTATATCCCATCAAATCCCAACTGTATATATCCGAGTAAATCCCAACAAAATCCCACTTAAACACCATTCAATCCCATCAAATCCCATTAATCCCCATTAATCCCTATTAAATCTCATGAAATCCCATTAATCCCCATTAAATCCCTATTAAAGCCCATGAAATCCCATTAATCCCCATTAAATCCCATGAAAGTTTCATTGAACCCAACGGTTCATCATAATTTGCGGCCAACGTCGGATTCGGAAACTTTAGCGTCGGATTCGGAAACTTCCTGGCCCTCGGATTCGGAAACTTCAAGGCCCACGGATTCGGAAACTCCCAGGCCCTCGGATTCGGAAACTTGCTGCCCCCGGATTCGGAAACTTTGAAGCCCACGGATTCCGAAACTCCGTGGCCCTCGGATTCGGAAACTCCCTGCCCCCCGGATTCGGAAACTTCGAAGCCCGCGGATTCGGAAACTTCCTGGCCCTCGGATTCGGAAACTTCAAGGCCCACGGATTCGGAAACTCCCAGGCCCTCGGATTCGGAAACTTGCTGCCCCCGGATTCGGAAACTTTGAAGCCCACGGATTCCGAAACTCCGTGGCCCTCGGATTCGGAAACTCCCTGCCCCCCGGATTCGGAAACTTCGAAGCCCGCGGATTCGGAAACTTCCTGGCCCTCGGATTCGGAAACTTCAAGGCCCACGGATTCGGAAACTCCCAGGCCCTCGGATTCGGAAACTTGCTGCCCCCGGATTCGGAAACTTTGAAGCCCACGGATTCCGAAACTCCGTGGCCCTCGGATTCGGAAACTCCCTGCCCCCCGGATTCGGAAACTTCGAAGCCCGCGGATTCGGAAACTTCCTGGCCCTCGGATTCGGAAACTTCAAGGCCCACGGATTCGGAAACTCCCAGGCCCTCGGATTCGGAAACTTGCTGCCCCCGGATTCGGAAACTTTGAAGCCCACGGATTCCGAAACTCCGTGGCCCTCGGATTCGGAAACTCCCTGCCCCCCGGATTCGGAAACTTCGAAGCCCGCGGATTCGGAAACTTCCTGGCCCTCGGATTCGGAAACTTCAAGGCCCACGGATTCGGAAACTCCCAGGCCCTCGGATTCGGAAACTTGCTGCCCCCGGATTCGGAAACTTTGAAGCCCACGGATTCCGAAACTCCGTGGCCCTCGGATTCGGAAACTCCCTGCCCCCCGGATTCGGAAACTTCGAAGCCCGCGGATTCGGAAACTCCCTGGCCCTCGGATTCGGAAACTTGCAGGCCCTCGGATTCGGAAACTTCAAGGCCCACGGATTCGGAAACTCCCAGGGCGTCGGATTCGGAAACTCGCTGCCCCCCGGATTCGGAAACTTCGAAGCCCACGGATTCGGAAACTTCCAGGCCCTCGGATTCGGAAACTTCCAGGCCCTCGGATTCGGAAACTTCAAGGCCCACGGATTCGGAAACTTCGTGGCCCTCGGATTCGGAAACTCCCTGCCCCCCGGATTCGGAAACTTCGAAGCCCGCGGATTCGGAAACTGCCAGGGCGTCGGATTCGGAAACTCGCTGTCCCCCGGATTCGGAAACTTCGAAGACACGGATTCGGAAACTTCCAGGCCCTCGGATTCGGAAACTTCAAGGCCTTCGGATACGGAAAGTTGCGGCTCCCCCCGGATTCGGAAACTTGAATTTGGGATTTAGAAATAGCATTGGTTTGGAAACTCCCAGTGCCGAGATCTCAAAAAAAACAAACTGCATTGTGGAAAAAAGAACATTCCGGATGTAGTTCGTCGGATTGATCTGAAAATGCAAACTGATCTCCTATATGTATAGACTCACTGATGCAATCCGAATGGTTGATCATACACGAATCCAATGTATCCCAATATTGACTGGTGTTTCCCATCATTGAGGAATACCATTGCATGCAGGGCTTTGGGGGGGGAAGTTTATAAAAAGACTTGCAACCGTGAGAAGAACTCTATGCAAGGGAAGGATGTGCATTGAGGAATACCATTGCATGCAGAGCTTTGGGGGGGGGAAGTTTAGAAAATGACTTGCAATCGTGACAAGAACTCTGTGAAAGGGAAGGATGTGCATTGAGGACTACCATTGCATGCCGAGCTTTGGGGGGGGGGGAGTTTAGAAAATGACTTGCAATCGTGACAAGAACTCTGTGAAAGGGAAGGATGTGCATTGAGGAATACCATTGTATGCAGAGCTTTGGGGGGGGGAAGTTTAGAAAATGACTTGCAATCGTGACAAGAACTCTGTGAAAGGGAAGGTATGCATTGAGGAATACCATTGCATGCAGAGCTTTGGGGGGGGAAGTTTAGAAAATGACTTGCAATCGTGACAAGAACTCTGTGAAAGGGAAGGATGTGCATTCAGAAATACCATTGCATGCAGAGCTTTTCGGGGGGGAAGTTTATAAAAAGACTTGCAACCGTGAGAAGAACTCTATGCAAGGGAAGGATGTGCATTGAGGAATACCATTGTATGCAGAGCTTTGGGGGGGGAAGTTTAGAAAATGACTTGCAATCGTGACAAGAACTCTGTGAAAGGGAAGGATGTGCATTGAGGACTACCATTGCATGCAGAGCTTTGGGGGGGGGGAAGTTATAAAAATGACTTGCAATCGTGACAAGAACTCTGTGAAAGGGAAGGATGTGCATTGAGGACTACCATTGCATGCAGAGCTTTGGGGGGGGAGAAGTTTAGAAAAGGACTTGCAATCGTGACAAGAACTCTGTGAAAGGAAAGGATGTGCATTGAGGAATACCATTGTATGCAGAGCTTTGGGGGGGGGAAGTTTAGAAAATGACTTGCAATCGTGACAAGAACTCTGTGAAAGGGAAGGTATGCATTGATGACTACTATTGCATGTAGGGCTTTGGGGGGGAAGTTTAGAAAATGACTTGCAATGGTGACAAGAACTCTATGCAAGGGAAGGATTTGCATTGAGGAATACCATTGCATGCAGGGCTTTGGGGGGGGGGAAGTTTATAAAAAGACTTGCAACCGTGAGAAGAACTCTATGCAAGGGAAGGATGTGCATTGAGGAATACCATCGTATGCAGAGCTTTGGGGGGGGGAAGTTTAGAAAATGACTTGCAATGGTGACAAGAACTCTATGCAAGGGAAGGATGCGCATTCAGAAATACCATGGCATGCAGAGCTTTTCGGGGGGAAGTTTAGAAAATGACTTGCAATCTTGACAAGAACTCTATGAAAGGGAAGGATGTGCATTGAGGAA